AGTGTTGTTGTTTTTTAAAAAGAGCTTAAGTGAATAGAGAGAAATACTGTTAACTGATGGTACATGGAGGGGATTGTAATCATTGTGATGAAACAAGGTTTATGATTTGTTGAATATAAAACAGATGATCTCCCTGTAAACTTTCACTCGGTCCATAATAAAAACTTAAGGAAAAAAAAAAAAAAGATGGAAGGAATAAACAGAGTCACTGTACCAAAAAATAAATTGTCAATGGATAACCATTTCAAGAGCCAAAGATACTGAACAATGATACTGAACAATGATAACATGATCAAGAGCCAATGATACTGAAGGAAAAAGTCCAAGCTGCACTGACGGCATTAGTGAAAAAGAAGGCTACAGTAATTAATTAGTGGTTTCTAACACATCCTGATGGAGTCCTGGTGTGGCGCTGTGGGTTAATATGCTGGACTGCAAAGCCATTTAAACTGCAAGGTTTAAGATTCAAGATCACCAACTGCTCCTTGGAAAACCTACACAGGGTCGCTATTGGTCAGAATCAACTCAACGGCACTTAACAACAACAATATATCCTGGTGTGACAACTGCAGGATAATGCACTGGACTGCAAAGTCAGTTTGAGCTGCAAGATCAATGGTTCAAATTCTTAAGTTGCTCCTAGGACACCTTATACAGGGTAACTATGAGTCAGAACTGACTCAACAGCACTTAACAACAACAATGGTATATTTTCAAAGTTGTATGTTGATCCCAACTAATTCCAGAACATTTTCATCACCCACAAAAGAAACCACATAACTCACTCCTTATTCCTCCCTCCCCTAGCAATAGCTTCTTATTGTTCCCTCCCTGAGCCCATGTTTTTTTGTTGTTGTTTAAATGCCATCAAGTCTGTTGTGAATCATAACGACCCTGAATAGGGTTTCTGAGGAGCAGCTGGTGAGTTTGAACCACTGACCTTGTGATTCAAACGACCTTGTGGTCCAATGCTTATTCTACATCATTACACCAGGACTCCAGTCCGTAGCAACCCCTAGTCTACTTACAAACCACTAAATAATATACTTTAAAGGGTGAACTTTACAGTATGTGAAATATACCTCAATAAAAAATTTTTTTAAGTATCTATCTCTAGGTATGATCCTATTTTTAAAAAACACCTTTACCGATTCATTTTTCTATCCGTACATATATGCACAGAAATGTGGAAAACTAGTAACTTAATGTAAATGATAGGTATTTCTAATAGGAATCAAGATGATTATTTTCATAATTTAAATATTA